AACCCAAAACTTCGGGAAAAATCTTCAAATTTTCCAATTTAAACTTTGAGAATTTTAGCAGCTTTCACAACTGGATTCTCCTTAGCAATCGCTTCACGACCAGCTGCCTTGTAATCATAACTACAGTCATGCCGATCGGAATACCTATGCTCCGAGCAAAATACTTCCCCGCACCGGCACCGGAATGGCATCAATCCGACCTTCCTCCGGCAACCTAATCCACAACACCTATTAGCTTCCCTCGGCCTCTTCACCGCCGCCTTTCGACCGACCAGATCCATACTTTCCGGCGATGTAGCGGAAGTAGATCTCGATTCGTCCGTGCCGGAAAGTTTCTCTAAGATCTCCGACGAGCTATCGGAGCTAGAAAGTTTTGGATCTATGCTCTCGCGCGAGCTATCAGAGCTAGATCTCGACTCGTTGGTGCCGGGGAGTTTCAGATCTATTCTCTCCGGCGAGCTAGTGGAAAGTTTCAGATCTATTCTCTCCAGCGAGCTAGCAGAAAGTTTCAGATCTGATATCTCAGGTGACCTTTTCGTATCGGCGGTTGAGAGGTGCGGCGGCGGAGCAGAAATTGGTAGAGCTGGGGAACACAAAGGGATGGATTCTGGAACCTTCAGCTCGGTCTCCTCTTTCTCTCTCTTCTGTGCCATTATTGATTTTAGCTCTGAAGAATTTTCTAGAGAGAGAAAGAGGGTAGGAAAATGAAATGCAAATGGGGGTATTGGGAGTTGTTTGGATGAGGTTTTTAGAGAGAGAGAGAAAAAGAGATGGAGGAGTATTATAAAGGGGGATTAGAGATAAAGTCGGTAAAATGTCGGCCATATAGTTTATTCACGTACTTTGAAAAGATCTAAATTATATTATATTATTAATAGTAGTATAAAAAAATTAAAAATTAAAAACTCATGAGGGAACAAACTTTTTTGACCATATTTACGATCTAGTCATTTGGAATAGAGATCTTTTATGGTCCTTGTTGGAAAAAATTTTTTGTATACTATAAAAGGCAACCCGATACACTAAGCTTCTGCTATGCGCGAGGTCCAGGAAACAATCGGACCACAAGGATATATTATACACTTGTATTTTACAAGAGGATTCCTTGTATACAATATATGCATCAAATTAATGAATACATAGCATTATACTAACACTTGTTAATAAATACACAACATTATACTAACATTTGTTAATAAATACACAACACTATACTAACCCTTGTTATACTGATGTGACCTCTACATTCTGAAACATTTTGGCTGTTTTGTTTTCTTGCATCTAGCTTCTCGAGGAACTTTGGAGCAACGGTAAAGTTATCTCCGTGTGACTTATGAGTCACGAGTTTGAATCGTAGAAGCAGCCACTAACATGTCCATTAGGGTATAGCTATTTACATCACACCCTTTGGAATGCGGACCTTCCCCGGACCGTACGTGAATACGTGTCTTGTGCATTGAACTGCCCTACTTTTCTAACCTCACTTATTTCTCCAAGCTCCAATTCCTGATGTTGGCCTTTCTTTTCTACTATGTATATACAAAGAAGTGTTTGTTTCATATATGGGTCACAGAGCAACAGTGGTGGTCCATTTGTTTCAACTTGTTCTCCAGAAAGCTTATTTGAAGAACAAAATCTGGTAATTTCTAAGTTTCTAACATGATAAAAGAGGTAGAACATAACAACAACATCAACAAAAACAACACGACCACCAACAATAACAACAACAAAAAATCCAGTGTAATCCCACAAGTGGGGTCTGGGGAGGGTAGTGTGTACGCAAACCTTACCCCTACCTTGAAGGTAGAGAGGCTGTTTCCGATAGACCCTCGACTCACGAAAAGCAGTTAATAAAGGAGGTAGAACATGCCAGATAGAAACTTAGTAGGCATTTGGACAACATTTGGTCAAAGTTTGAGAAAAAGAGCATTCGAAGTTGAAGTTAAAAAAGAGTATTAGGAAGCTGATCGGACTAATGTTTTCGAAGACCTTAGCCATGCTTTTGGATAATGATTTCACTTTCTTTACCAACATATGTTCAGCTAGGAATAAGGGTAATGCAAATAAGGATGATATTGAGTCTATACTCTATACATATAATTAGAGTCTGAATATACTCAAAACACAAACACACAATATAAAAGAGTGGGAAGAGGGACAAGTTGAACCAGTTATATGCAATCTCATCAAACTATAATCTCATCACCACCTGAAAATGCAAACTAGGCACGATTTTACCCTAAAACGTTATTCTGAAGAAGTAAAGAACATGGATACCCCTTCTTAAATTTCTCTCTAGAGGATGCCCCTCTTGAAGGGGAGCCTTAGAGCAATAATAAAATTGTCTCCGTATGACCTATAGGTCACGGGTTCGAGCCGTGGAAGCAATCACTAGGATAGGCTGTCTACATCACACCCTTAGCGGTGTGGCCCTTCCTTGGACCCCACGTAAATGCAGGATGCTTTGTACACCGGGCTGCCTTTTTATTAAGGATGCCCCTCTTAAATTTCTCTTCTCAAGATTGATCAACTGCAACAGTACATACAGAATATCCAAATGCAACTTTTCACCACTATTGCTACATTAGTAGATAAAAGGAACCAATGGCAGTACTTTTTGAAAAATGTAGGCTAGTGCCACAAAGGAAGCTATGTTCAAAACCAAAATATCATGGTGTGATATTGACCACGTAATTGCATCTCAACCTTACTTTTGAAAGCTTTTTGTTTATTGACTGCAAACAGTCAACACAAAGCCTAGGTATCAACACTCTGGTTAGTAATCACTTCTATTCTCTATTAACTCTAGACACTATAATCTAGCACAAGAAGCATTTTACAATTTAATATTAGAGGTCTTATCATCTGGTAATTCAAAAAAAGAACAGCACATCTATCTTTGCTCTCTTTGATATGAATGGTTTTTCTTTTACTTCACCATTCTAATGACAAAATAAAAAGGGCAGCCCGGTGCACAAAGCATTTCGCGTTCACGCAGGGTCCTGGGAAGGGCCGCACCCCAAGAGGGTGTGATGTAGATAGCCTACCCTGATACAAGTTGATTCCACAGCTCGAACCCGTGACCTATAGGTCACACTGAGACAACTTGACCGTTGCTCCAAGGCTCCCCTTCTCTAATGACAAAATGTTATAGTAAATTATGTAAAGCAAGTCTGGCTTTTACTTGAAGAGTGAGAACTTGGATGCTACACATCCCCGATGGCTTCATTCGATGCTAACAGTCCTGATCTGCCGAAAAGCTCTATGAAAAAACCTTAGTACACCATCCAAAGCAGAAAGAATCATTTTCCCCTTTCTCTAACAAAAAGGAAAGGTTTTAATGCATTTAAGACAATTCCACTATTTTCTCCAGCTGGATCTACTCCTCATTGTTTGGCCAGAAATACTTGTTTGGCTAGAGAGATAGGTCATTCGAAGGGCTAGAAACTTTCACTTACATGGATAGTCTGATACTCTGATTCAGCAATGACATGATCAAAAATTCAAAATGCAGTAATCAAATAAGTAAATTTATAAGACACAAGACCAGTCAATCATCCAGATGATATCCATCCAAACATATTCATTAACTGATTCATATATGATTGTGAGATATTAATACACTAGATTGTTGCGAACAGTGCAGATCATAGAAGCAATTTATTCAAAATTGTGTACAGAATGAGGAGCTATAGTTTTAAGCATCAAATCAGATACTTCATAAAGTTAAGACTGTGCGTCAGCTTGTATGAGGATCCTTTGAATAAAGATGACAAACCCCAATCCAGAAAAAATCACCTGAACAGTATCACAAAACGAAAAAAGAATGTAATCGTTTCTCAATTCTGTGTATCACTTCATATTAACAAAGGGAGAGAGTGGATATTATCAGAACGAAGGGAAAATTATAAGATAACCTTACCACATCCAGCTGATGAACTTCCCCTCTATGTCAGTAATATGTTACCTGACGTACAGTCGTTGAAATCACCAAATGAAACCCCTTCACTAATTCCTGACCAGTTTTGTCCAATAACTTAAATTCTTCAGCTCCAACTGGCTATCAGAATCTCGCCAAAATTTGATAATATGGAGGCTCTCTTCTTCAGTTGATCTCTGCAGGATGATTCGCGATGCATAACCCTTCTTTCTCATCTCAAGACATATTTCTGAGGGGTTATTAGCAGTAAGTGTGACCATATATAACCAGCCCCTCTCCGACAAAAGATTGTCGGCAACAGGCAGTATTTTATCAATAACACTTCGACCATTCTCCCCTCCGGCCCATGCAGAAGCGATACCTTCAGAACCAACTTCATCTTCAGGCGTAGGAACATACGGAGGGTTCACAACCATCACATCAACCGATCCTCCCAATCGCTTCTCAAGTCCAGATGCAATATCTGTGTTTACCAGCTCTGCATAAACACCATGAGCCCCCATCGTCTCACGAGTCACCTTTATTGCATGGGGATTTATGTCTGTTGCAAGATAGTATGGAACGAATCCTTCAAGTCCGAGCATAACTGCAAGTGAAGTAATAACATACCCACTACCACAACCAATTTCCATACAAATTGAGGGACGGTGCTGTAACAAGTTAGTTCGATCAGCTAATAATGCATCAACCAGTGCAAATGAATCATCACATGGTTCGTAAACCTCAGGATGCGAACTCACAAGCTGGATTTTGGCAATTCTTGAAAGCATCTTAGATAACTCCTGCCACATTAAAACAAGCTCATAAGGCCTTAGCAATGGAGGCTCTTAAAACACCTTTCTATCATCTACCACAAAATGCCCTTTCAATAACATAACTGATACGTTCACCAAGAAAAATATATATAACGGATACGCAGGGTAGGCTGCAAATTAAGCAAGCCCAAGCATAGGGCCTGGTATAGTGTTGCCACAGGGGGTGCGGCTAGACTCTCTGCCCTTCAAATTAAAGTATATATAACTATATGTAACTAAACAGTGAACTCATTATTGTCTATTCTAGAAAAACCACCCATCCGAGCCATCGTTAACCATTGGTTGTTAAGGCGTATTCTCAAAATCCCTATATCTACAGCTGTGGCAATAGTGGCATAATTTGGTAATATGCCAATTTGACCACTATTAGTAGATAAACCAATTTCTTCCACTTCTGAATCCCAAACAATTCGATTAGGCGTCAAGTTTTACGGTTAACCAAAAGAAAAATAGGTTATTTACATGAGTTTCAAACTAAAATTTGGATGAATAATCCGTTTATTTAGTTTTATATTTTTTCCCACCTTCAGAAGAATAAGGCATAGGCATTGCTACTAGTGTTAGAATTTTATGAAAGGTAACCATCTCGATTTCATAGATAAATTTATAATCAAGATTGAACCTATCCTCCAGTAGGATAAAGATGATGATATTGTCTTTTACCTGCGATAACATCAAATATATAAAATATTCTTAGACAATAATACCACAAGATATACCTTAAAGAGCCATAGAGATGTGAGAAGTTTTGCTTTCGCGACACACAAAAACACGTCTATATTTATTTATTAATTTTGTTATACTAAGTATGTACTCATTGCCACAAAGTAGTAGTGGTTGTAGTGTATTCTACACACGCTGGCTTAAAATACTGAATTTGCCTCTACAAGAAGGGACTAGTTTCAAAGACGAGGGGAGAGCTCAGCCCAACTTAGAAAAAGAAAATAAACTTCAAGCCCTATCAGAACTCAGAAACCAAATCACACTTATTCTTCCCATTTAGATAAGCAAGCGAAGGAGCCAAATAAATCAAGCAATTGCAGTTTAGACAGTCTAAACAACAAGATAAATATCATAAGAATTCATGGGCGTGTGAATCCAAGGTGTTGAATGAAAAAGCAAAACTTGGTACCCAATAAATATACAATTTGATACCAACAATTTGTATTCGATTAAGACTTGGTTTGTAAGTCAATACAAGTGGAATAAAAAGGAAAAGTCGGTATCCAATGTTTGCAGTTTGAGACATGTAATTAGAATATTGTTCAGTCTTGATGTATGGGTGAATTCAAGTTGTATATAAGAACAAACTTGATACTCCATAAAAGTAAAATTTGATACCTTCAATCATAATTTATGGTTCAATACAAGTTGAATAAAAAGGCAAACTTGGTATCTGATGTATATGCAATTTGAGAACCAGATTTGAGTAAATAAAATAACTAGCAATTCGTATTTGATTCCGTTAAAAAGGGCAGCCCGGTGCACTAAGCTCCCGCTATGAGCGGGGTCCGGGGAAGGGCCGGAACACAAGGGTCTATTGAACGCAGCCTTACCCTGCATTTCTGCAATACACTGTTTCCACGGCTCGAACCATGGCAGCAACTTTACCCGTTACGCCAAGGCTCCCCGTCAGTATTTGATTCAGTGCTTACCTAAATTATGCTCCCTAACGCAATGTACATAATTACAGCATAAGAGTACAAATACTATACTAACACAATTCAAGTTGAATGAAAAAACTGAACTTGGTATTCAATGTATCTGCAATTTGATACCTACAAATACTATTTTACTCATTCTTGATATATGGGTGAATTCAAGTTGTATAAAAAAGTAAACTTGATACTACACAAACATAAAATTTGATACCTGAAACCAGTATTTTACTCTCTATTGATTTATGGGTGTGCTTCAATTTGAATAAAAAAGTAAACTTGGTAACAATAAGCATAAAATTTTTGTACCTGCAATTAGTATTTGCCTACTGTCAAGATATGAGACTTCAAAAAATTGGATCTTTTCAGTATTTGGGTTTTAGCAGTAAAAAACTAGCTGAAATCTATTTGCAAAAATAGTTTCCGAAAGAGAACGGCGATTGGAGAAGGGGAAAGGGAGGAAAAAAGGACTGTTTATAAAAAATGAGTAATTATCATATGGATATCCTGAGGTTTAGTAAAAGACACTTAACCCCCTAACGTTTGAACACTTATTATATGGAACCTTAAATAAAAAACGAAAAAGGGCCAAAACTGCTCCTAGACTATTCTTTTAAGTTTAAAAATGCCATCCGTCCACCTATTTTGTAAAAGTTGCCCTCACCGTTACAAATCTGGCCAATCCATGCCCCTAACGTCAACTTTTTGGTCCACTCATACCTAAAAGCTAACAACCCTATTTTGATTAAGAAAACATTTTATTATTTATTATGTGTTAATTTCCTATTGGCTTAAATTAAAACCTCACCACATATCCACTTATTAGCCTACTCCGTCTTAGATTTTCACCCTTCAACACCCACGGATCTCCCTCAGTCCCTCTCCACCTCAGATTTTTCGGCCTTAATTTAATTTTTAAATTAATATTTTTTATTAAATCAATTTTCTGAGTGAAATCAGGTACTCTTTGAAACAATGCTTCATTGTAAGATTTTATGGTTTAATAAGTTATTTTTCTGCCAATAGTAATGATCATTGAGCATTTGCAATATTTTTTGTTGTATATTTCCTGACAACACTGTATCCAATTTTGATTATACCAATGATTTATTTGGTCTCTGCTCGGACCTCGACCTTTTTCTTCTTCATTGGCCCATCATAGTCTGAACATCCGGCCATATCCATAAATTAAGCTATTATACGTGGATGCTCTTTAGGTTATATCAACACCGCCAATTTTAAAAAGAGACGGTTAAATCAAGAGAAATATTTGAGATCATATGCCTGAGAATATGAGAGAATACGACTTATTGGTGAATGTGACTATAATAAACACTTGATTGAGCTTATTGTATGAAGCAGTAAAGTGTAGTAAGAAAAATTGATGATGAATGATATTTCTGTGATGGAAAAAAATAGGAGTATTGATGTGCACATTTAATATACAAAGAAATAGGAAGAGGAAGGTGATTAACTATACGAGAGAGTTTTGTTTGCTTAGGGAAAAAAATGGGTGCATGAGAGTTCTAGTTGGTGGAATAATTTTTAAAAGAAAGAGGAGAAAGAAACGAAGGAAAAGGGTCTTAGAATGTGGGTGAGTTTATTTTAATTTAGGTGAGTCTTAAGTTAGGCCAATGGGACGATGACACATGGAAATTAATTAAGTTTTTTTTTGCCTAACAGGGTCTTTGAAAGTTGTATGACGTAAAGTATTGGTGATAAAAATTTTTGGTTGTCTGAAATAAAACTTTAATGATGTTTGTAGTGATTATTCAAATAGAGTGCAAGGTCAAAAAAAGGATGAGAAGAACAAGAAAAATATGAACGCACACACGCTAGGAGGGGAGGGTGGAGGGGGTGGGGGGAGAGATTTTTTGAGATGGGGGGTATTATTGTACCAACTCCAATAGTCTAGGGGCAGTTTTGACCTTTTTCCGTTATGACACGTGAAAATTAATTAAATTTTTTTTTATCTAACATGGTCGTTAGTCGTAAGGGCATTCTTGAGCCGAAAAGATAACGGTGAGGACAATTTTTTCAAAATAGGTGGACGGAGGGTATTTTTAAACTTAAGCGAATAGTCTAGGGGCAGTTTTGACCCTTTTCCGTTTTAATTATTATCTAAAATCTAATTCCACAATTTTAAAAGTAAAATAAATTCAACTCTAAGATCAACGTATCAAGTTTAAATTGTGAATAATAGTGTTAGCACAAATAATTAAGACACNTTATGTACCAATTCCAATAGTCTAGGGGCAGTTTTGACCTTTTTTCTGTTATGACACGTGGAAATTAATTAAATTTTTTTTTATCTAACATGGTTGTTAGTTGTAAGGGCATTCTTGAGCCGAAAAGATAACGGTGAGGGCAATTTTTTTAAAATAGGTGGACAGAGGGCATTATTGTACCAACTCCAAAAGTCTAGGGGCAGTTTTGACCCTTTTCCGAATAAAAAAAGAGAAGAAAAAGAGGAGGCCCTTTTCTATGTGAACCAAATGAAAAAATTACGATTTTCTTTCTTACTTTTTGAAAATAATTTTAATAAAGAAATATTCTAATTTATTATATTATATTTATTATTTTTTGAATATTCAAGTTTTGTTCAAAAACATATAAGGAATTGATTGCTGAATTGAGTCCGAAAGTAGACGACTTATCTTTATCTTTCGTACTCTGAGTCCTTTTTTTCTTTTGAAACGAATATTGGATAGTATAAATATAAATAGTATGATAAGCAAAAAAAATTATATTTTATAATATAAAGTTCCAATAAACTAGTAAGAACCGCTAATGACTTAGGATCCGTTTGGATATAGATTCTCAATTATTTTTCGAAAAAGTTGATTTGGGTGAATTTTGATGTGAAATTAAAAATGTGTTTGGACATGAATTTTGGGGCAAGTTTGACATGTTTAAAATCTTTTTTTCAGCTAAAAATTCCCAAATGCTTATGATTTTGCCCAAAAAGGCGTCTTGAGATATTTTCAAATCTCTCAAAAATAAGATTAACTCTATAAACAAACACACATTTGAAGAAAAAAAATTGAAAAAAGACTTCCAAAAATTATGGCCAACGCCTACTTAAATATTATTTTTCTTCTTTTATTTCCTTCCCAATAATTTTATAAGTTCACAAATGCATGTAGATATGAAGCTATAGTTTTGGAAGTCAATCTATTTTATTGATACAACTAAGACAAGCTATAGTTTAAGTGTTTTTTATCAAAGAAAAAGAAATTAAGTTGAAACACACATCAAAGAGTTTTCCAGGACATCAACAAAGCAGTTTAGTTTCTCTATTTTCCCATTTGCTATTAGATTATACATATATATTTGTAAACAAAACATATTTTTCGAAGTTAATAAAAATATGGATTTAATTTATTAAAATAAGTGAGCTAAGCTAAGGTGTATGATATGTTTATGGTCTCCCATTATCTCAAAATGTTAGTGGAACAGCATTAACCAAAAAATGGGAAAATCAGATGAGTTTGGATTATTTTAAGCATTCAAATCATCAAGTCACTTTCACAGTTTAGGCTATATAAACTCTTAGTTACACCATTCTCAAATACACAAAAAACAAAAACAATAATCCAATCAGCCTTAGAACCCATATCTTCTCAATGGGGAGCCAAATGAAGAAGCAATGGCATCAATTTGTTTGTGCTTTAGCATTTTTCTTGATTGCCACTTGCACTATGGCATATTCAACTGATTCTTATAAATCATCAGTTGCATCATATAATCAAGTACCAAGCCAAGTACCAGTGTCAAAAAGACAATTACGAAGTGTCCAAGAACGATTACAAGGTACCCTCAGTGCCTAAACAAGAATACAAGGCACCATCTTTGTCAAAGGATAACTACTACACGAAGCCATCAGTTTCAAAAGATGACTACAAGAAGGTGCCATATGTTCCAAAAGATAGCTACTATAAAGCAGTCGCAGTGCCTAAGCCGGAATACAAGGCGTCATCTTTGCCAAAGAATGAGTACTACAAGAAACCATCTGTTCCAGAATATAACTACAAGAAGGTGCCATCTGTTCCAAAAGATAACTACTACAAAGCACCCGCAGTGCCTAAGCCGGAATACAAGGCGCCATCTTTGCCAAAGAATGAGTACTACAAGAAACCATCTGTTCCAGAATATAACTACAAGAAGGTGCCATCTCTTCCAAAAGATAACTACTACAAGGTACCTTCAGTGCCTAAACAGGAATACAAGGCGCCATCTTTGCCAAAGAATGACTACTACAAGAAGTCATCAATTCCAAAAGATACCTACGCCAAGGTGCCATCTCTTCCAAACGATAACTATTACAAGGCTCCCTCAACACCTAAACAAGAATACAAGGTGCCATCTGTACCGAAGAATGACTACTATAAAAAGCCATCAGTTCCAAAAACTGACTATTACAAAGTACCCTCAATGCCTAAACAAGAATACAAAGTGCAATCTTTACCAAAGAATTACTACTACAAAAAACCATCAGTTCCAAAGAATGACTACTATAAAAAGCCATCAGTTCCAAAAACAGACTATTACAAGATGCCCTCAATACCTAAACAAAAATACAAAGTGTCATCTGTACCAAAGAATGACTACTACAAGAAACCTTCAGCTTCTCCTCCACCGCCATACTACTATAATTCGCCCCCTCCTCCTTTACCATCACCACCACCTCCTTACTCTTATCAATCATCTTCAACTCCTTCTTCATCACCACCTCCACCATATTATTAAATTCTCATCTTTCATGTTCAAACATGTTTCGAGAAGGCCATTTTCCAACACAACAAAATCTTAAGGGTCTTGAGTGGAAGGCTTGATATCAAAATTTGTATTACTTCATTATTTGTAATTTCTGGGGTTGGTTGCAGCTCATGTTTTTCCATTTTATAGTATGTCTCATTATCGAAATTCTGAGAAGATTAGTTCAATTTAATGCAAATTCTTTTTGTCGATAATTTTATGTACTATTTATCAGTCTGACATTTGCCAATTCCTTCATAATTTAAAGCATTAATCCCTGAAACATGAGAACATAACAACCTATTGAGAAAATTCAGAGTATATACATTTAATTAATGACTGTTTCACCTGTAAATATCAATATCGCAAGTGCTTCTACTCATATTTGCAACAATATCACTAATATATTATGTCATAACACAATGAAATGGTTGTTAATAGACTGTGTTTAAAGCAGAAAATCAGAATAAGCAAAAACTAAAACAGAACCGAAAAATAATTTCGAGTCAACAGACTTCCATGTGTATCCTTAAGGAATTTAATAATCTCACTGTTAGTCTGTTGCACAAGGTATTTAGATTAATTCCTCGCAGGATAGAGGAAAAAATTATTCTATAATAGAGGCACTTCAAATTATGAAACTTCTGCGACAGAGCATATCATACTTGACACTTACTTTCTATTTTGAAAAACAATGCAACGAAGAGCGACAAAGAATTCAATATTTTCAATGTATGATAAATGAAGCCAAGCATTTGAATTTATAGTCCAACGAGTTCGAGTTCAATGGTGAGAGGATGCACATTAGAAACAATTACGACAAATAAAAAATTAACATAGTTTATATATTCTAAATAAAGTACAACAAATAAAAAAACAAGAAATTTTGATAAAAGGGAAGCCTAAAGTAAGAGGTGTAAGCTTATAAAAACTTATATTAGAAGCACATAATTACGTTCGTTATATGTTAAGAATTTGTTAAATCTGAACTACTCTTTGAATGTTATGTTTAAAAAGAACTCCCAAAAGACCACATAATTAACCAATCAGTAATCAAAAAAATTTAAGTATACAGTATTGTTGCACCTCATGTAACTATTAATATCTCGGAAACCACCTTGTACATAAATCAAATAAGAAATAAATAGCGTCGTAAAAAACAAAGTTTTTTAAGCTCACCAGTCACCACAAAGGAGAGGAACAATATTTTTGTGATTTTCATGCTCTTTTTATTGGAGGACAGTTGTACCTAACAGAAATTCAATTTATCATCATGCACATATAAATCAAAATATATATAGTATGAAATTAATCAGTTAACTTAAAAATGCATAAGAGACCATAAAATGGTAAATATATACGCTGTCGACAGTTAAAATATACATTACTTTTTAATCCTCTAACACTCAAATTTTAGTTGGAGAAAAATTATTTATCCAGTTATTTTTGTATATAAAGTATTAGGATGTTTCAGATTGAGCTTGGGCCCGGGCGTAGCATGGGCACATCGTCACTAGTCAGTCAATAAGATCATTTGATCAAATTCAAATGCCGAGTAATAACGGAACAAAGCTTGCCTTCGTCTCAACTCTTTAAAAGCTAGAAGAATTTTTTTTCTTGTAAATAAGCACAATATTTTTCCTCTCTTTTTTAAATGAGGGACAAAATTTCATTGTAAAAAAGAGAACTTTTCAAATTATCATTTCTCTCCATTTTTTATTCATACAACATAAACAAAAATCCAACAATGGTGATGTTGTATTAGGGGTATACATAGGCCGGGTTGGTTCGGATTTTTCAATTACCAAACCAAACCAATTGTCTCGGATTTTCAAATTTATAAACCAAACCAAACCAACAAAAGTCGGGTTTTTCAATCACGTTTTTTTCGGGTTTTTTCCGACAAAATCGTCATAGCATAAAATTTATAAATTGTGTTCTAATATTTCTTAGGTCCTAGATAAAACTATATAATATGTTACCCAATAAAATAATACAAAATATTGTTAGATGAGTCATGATTATACTAAAATACTCAAAAAATCGTATAAAATAAATATTGCTAATTAATAAGTCATAATAAAAATATATATAATTAATCTAAAAGTACTAAGTCATATTAAAATAAGTACGACTAATAAGTACTAAGTATTAATTACATGACTAAATAATATTAAGTGTGAGTTATGCATTTTCACTATCTAAATCAATGCAAAACTAAAAAAATATATCCAATACTATTGTCATTTCTAGTATTGAATTGATTTTTTTTTTTTTTATTTAGCATTAGTATTCATTTGGTTTTGCTTTGGGCTTTATTTGAGTTAGTAACTTTTATGGGCTATAAAACATACTTGACCATTCAAAAGTTTTAAGTCCAAACTTGAAATAATACATTAAAAGAAAGAATTATTGAAGAGTTTAAATTATATTTATAAATTACATTACAATAATTATTTTTATGTATAAGCTATATTTTTAAAACTTGTACACATGTAATGTCGGGTTGGATTGGTTTCGGTTTGATTTTTTTTAGTTAAAACCAAACCAAACCAATTATGGTCGGGTTTTTTTTTCTAACACCAAACCATAGTCAGGTTTTTTTTTCTCGGTTTGACTCAGATTATCGGTTTGGTGCGGTTTATCGGTTTTCTTTGTACACCGTGTTAGGTGTTTGCCATAATTTTCTTACCATATTTGGTTTTCCTATTTGTTGAAGGAAAGGGCAACATGTTTACCTTAATTGGGTTTTCCTTCTTGTAGAAGGAAATTACAAATCTTCATATCTGGCTAGTCCCTTTTCTTGTAGGAAAAGGTTTGGAGTTCTATAAATTGAATATATGTCCTTCTCATTCAGTAGCATCCACAATGTAGCCACATGGGGTTTCAGAGTCGTGTTTAGAGGGAGAACTTTATGGGACAAGTGTTAGTGTGTCAGTTGTGTTTGCCTCTTCGTGAGGTTGTTCTCTCGATATTTTGTACTCTCTTTTTATATAGTGGATTGCTCATCTCCGCCGTGGACGTAGGTCAGTTGACCGAACCACGTTAAATGTTAGTGTCTCTTTTGGTATATTTCTCTTTTGTTGTTGGACTTATCGTCATTCAAGGTTTGCTTTGCTAGATTCCGCATGACACCTGACTTTTTTCGATCCTAACAAGTGGTATCAGAGCGAGGTTCAAGGCAAGTTCATCTATGCGGGTTCAGTTCTAGCTGCAACATAGTTGACGTGATTTTTGTCTGAGAAATTCGACCGATGTGGTACGCACGTTGAGACAAACTTTGTTCACGTCGTGTAAGCTCCAGAAAATGAGGAAGTTTTTTCTATAAGAATTTTTTTCATTCTCAAGGCTCAAATCTGAGATTTGTGCTTAAAGGTCGAGGATCTCGTCCGGCCATCCCACCATATCGCTTGGTGATGAAAATCATGGCCCCATGATGTGATTGTGATGAATTATAAGTCGTGCTTAAGAATCTGCGGCATCATGTACATACAATATAATGGACCCAACCTACCAACTTTAACTGATTCTTACATGATCAAATAATGGACATATCTTAGCTAGGCAGATACATACATATTTTGGCAATCCGATATATAAAGTATTCCACGTTTATTCAGGGTTCAAGGAAAGGATCGTACTCCAAAGGATGTGATGTAGACAGCCTACCCTAATGCAAGCATTAGTGACTGCTTATACGGCTCGAACCCATGACCTATAGATCACACAGAGATACATATTTGAAACGCTTTTGTGTAAATATCTCGTATAGACCGATACATGTATAAAATTTTTACCAACTTTTAGTGTATAAATTTTGAAGAATTCACATAACATATTTACATCAGACCTATTAGACACGAGTACTAGATGAATTAATTAGGTAATGCAGTTGTGGACTCTTTCACAAAACTGAAAACTAAGTTGCGCTTTTTGAAATTTTTGTTATCTCTTTTCCCTGTCCAATTTGATAAGAGAATTAAACATTAAATTGAAATTTGTACCAAAAATGTAATAAGGAATTGTTATTCCAGTTTGATTGCCACTAGTTTAGAAATGTATGTAGTAGACATGGAACGATTTCCTGGAAAGTCAATAAAACTGGTTTTTTAATTTTTTTTTCATATCAGTTAGTCAATCAAATTTGTGATTTTGTTCATGGCTCTCCATTATCTCAAGAACTTAGTGGTACAGCATTAACCAAGAACAAGGAAAATCAGATGAGTTCGGATTATTTTAAGCATCCAAATAATCAAGACACTTTCTTAGTTTAGGCTATATAAACTCCTTGTTCCCCCTTTCTAAAATACACAAAAAAAGAAAAAAACAATCCAATCATCCTTAGAACTCAAATCTTCTCAATGGGGAGCCAAATGAAGAAGCAATGGCATCAATTTGCTTGTGCTTTGACATTTTTCTTGATTGCCACTTGCACTATGGCATATTCATCTGATTCTTATAAATCACCAATTCCATCATATAATCAAGTACCATTGTCAAAAGACAATTACGAAGTGCCACAAGTGTCCAAGAGCGATTACAAGGTACCCTCAGTGCCTAAACAAGAATACAAGATACCATCTTTGCCAAAGAATAATTACTACACGAAGCCATCAATTCCAAAAGATGACTATAAGAAGGTGCCATCTGTTTCAAAAGATAACTACTACAAGGCACCCGTAGTGCCTAAACCGGAATACAAGGCGCCATCTTTGCCAAAGAATGAGTACTACAAGAAACCATCAGTTCCAGAATATAATTACAAGAAGGTGCCATCTCTTCCAAAAGATAACTACTATAAGGCACCTTCAGTGCCTAAACTTGAATACAAGACGCCATCTTTGCCAAAGAATGACTACTACAAGAAACCATCAGTTCCAAAAGATAACTATTACAAGGCACCCTCAACGCCTAAACAGGAATACAAGGTGCCATCTGTACCAAAGAATAACTACTACAAAAAGCCATCAGTTCCAAAGAATAACTACAAGGTGCCATCTGTTCCAAAGGATAACTACCAGGTGCCATCTGTACCAAAGAATGACTACTACAAGAAGCCATCAGTTCCAAAGAATAACTACAAGGCGCCATCTGTTCCAAAGGATAACTACTATAAGGTACCCTCAGTGCCTAAACCAGAATACCATGTGCCATCTGTACCAAAGAATGACTACTACAAAAAGCCATCAGTTTCAAAGAATGACTACTATAAAAAGCCATCAATTCCAAAAACTGACTATTACAAGGTACCCTCAATGCCTAAACAAGAATATAAAGCACCATCTTTACCGAAGAATGATTACTACAAGAAACCTTCAGCTTCTCCTCCACCGCCATACTACTATAATTCACCCCCTCCCCCTTCACCATCACCACCACCTCCCTACTCTTATCAATCATCTTCGACTCATTCTCCATCACCACCTCCTCCATATTATTAAATTCCCATTTTTCATGTTCAACATGTATCGAGAAGGCCATTTTCCAACACAACATAATCTCAAGGGTCTTGAGTTTAAGGCATGATATCAAAAATTTTATTTCTTAATTTTGTTGTTTCTTTCTTATCCTTATTCGGGTGGCAATTGTTTTGTCATTTAAATTGTATTTTGAATGTTTCCAGAGAATTGTATCAGTTGAATACAAGTTCCTTTTATTGATCTAGTCTATGTGTTTTCACCTTTTCTTCCAGCAATTCACAATTTCTTCACATAAATTTATCGATCAAGTTCGGTAGCATTGAAGGATTGCATATAGGTGTTCGTAACACGCAACGGAAGAAAATAACAATCTAGGCAGATCTTTTGTATTTAAAATTTATTTACATGTTAAAGATTGGATCTAAGACGTACCTGGTGAAGAGAGTCTCGTTTTAAAATTCTTCGACAGTGCGAAGACTCTATGCGTATCCACACCGAGATCGACTCTTGCTATCAACTTTTTGATCAATGAAACCTGCGAACAAATTGAATAAAAAAATTGTGCTGAAATTTTTCTCAAAAACTTCGAAGCAATAGTAATAAGACAAGAAAACAATTTTCCTCAGTCAGAATTATTTATCTCGACTGAGCGGCACTTCTTGTGAATCAAAAAACCCTTGGCCACGATATATAGGTGATATATATATAGTCAATCACCAAATCTTTCCCAAGTCAATTAAGGAAAACTAAATGCGGTGGATTAGTAGTAACTGAACTTTTCCATAATTTACTATTGAAAAATCCAAATCCCATTCATAATGGGACTTAGTGGCCGACGAGTCCTTCTGGACTTACGTAAATCCAACTTTGGATTTGATTTATGACTCTTTGATAGAATTTAAGGGTCCATCAAATTATATAGAGAACCAGTCGCTCTATTAGTTCCCACAGAACCACGCACACTGCAGTAATTAAATGACACAGAGGAATTTTACGTGAAAAATTCCCAGCTCAACGGGATTAAAAATCACGACCTACCCTTGTAGGATTTCAACTTCATACCGAGCAATCTTTAGATTACAACCTATTTGCTCAAAAGTTATCACATATCTTATGAATGCAAAACAATACGAATAAATTACGGGAAAATCATAGCAAATCGTAATAATCCATTGGACCATAAGAAGGAAGCGAAAAACAGTACTCAGTTTATTGATAATATTGGTTTGGTCTGCCTCTCCATGAAGAGGTTCAGAGCCTTACAATGGTGTTTTCACTTCCCATAAGAAGGGTGTGTTTTTCTCTTCTCTCTCTCCTCCATAGTGATGAAGAAGCAGCCCCCTTTCTAGGGCTTCCACTCTTAGTATTTATAGCTGTGGGCTTCGTGAGCTGGCAATAAATGGCCGCGACCACATTGGGATCTCGCCTTTATGGTGGCGGATAGGCCATGGCCTTGTCGATCGAGCCGGATGCGGGTTGAACATCGTCAATTCTGAGTGGTCGTACCACTAATTAATCATGAATTAGCTTGAAACGGGATTAGCCTCGTTAATTATCGTGGGGTCGGATTCTGACCCATACAGTTAGTCCCTCCGCTTATTGAGGTTGGGCCTTGGCCGAGCTCGATGAGTGGATTCCATTGGCTGTATTTCGAGAAACATGGATGGGGATGGCGACTGTTGCTTCAGTCGAGGCCGAATTCTTTTTGGCGATCGCCCTTAGCCTTGTAGAGTATTAGTATCCTGTTATTGGGCTGTCAAGTCATTGTTCGATCGAGGTCGAACTCTCCTTTTGGGCGAAGGCACTTGACCTTTTAGCTTACTTCGAGTGAGGTCGAGCTGCATTGTGCTCTGATCCTTACGTTTGCTTTGGAAACATACCCGTCGGCCATGACGGACGGGTCGTATGTTGCGCGGCCGAGGACAATGAGGGCACGCTTGATACGTGCTCGGCGGCGGCCTTAGCCGTTTACACGTTGGAGATGACCGTAGCCTTTCATATAGTGGAGATGGCCGTAGCCTTTCATACATTGGGGATGGCCGTAGCCTTTTATATATTGGAGATGGCCGTAGCCTTTCATATGTTGGGGATGGCCGTAGGGAATGAGTATGCGCCGGGTACGTATTTGGTCACGTTCAGAATTTTGAAGGCGTACGGCACATTCTTTCAACGTTCGCAGGCCGTAGCGATTATTCTGACGGCAGTACGTTGGCGGATGGCTGAGAAGTCGCTTTGCGGAGCTTGTCATAATGACGCTTGCTTCGGCAGAACCGAACCGTTTTACGGTTGGTCGTGCAGTTAATGATGGCTATTGGGTTTCGTGAAAGCCATTTATGTTGCCTATAAAGGTGGGTTGAGGCATTCATTTCTCATATCTTCATTGTTCATCTGAGAGAGATTCTGAGGAAACTTTTTCGTTTCGCAAATTCATCTTCTCCTTTCTTTCCTTTGATTGTGATAACCTTTGTCTTTAGTAGATCAATAATGACAGGTAGTTCTTCCCACGATGCTCTTCCGATAGACTTTCCGGTAGTTGAAGGGCCACCTCGGGCAATGGGAGGTGCAGAACAGATAGAGACCGGAGAAGTTCCGTCGGTTGACGAGGTAGTTCCTGGGCCCGGAGGTCCGGCGATTGATTTCACTGTCGACGGTGGAGTGGAACCGGTGGATGAAGCCCCGTTAATGGGGGAGATTGGGATGGCCCGATTNTTGTTTTTTATTTTCTCTTTCCTTGTATTGATCGGCCTTGGCCGGGTGTAAGCGGGGAAGACCCGCAATTAACTTTGTAGATAAATGAGATCTCCTTTCCGTTATTTGCCTTGTGTCTGTTTTGTATTCTCCTCTTTTTCCCCCTTAGATTTTTCTTTGCATGCGCTCGAAGGGGTGATTTGCCTTCGAGTTCGACTCTGGTAGGCATGTAGTTTTTAATTGTTGACGACTCTTCTTCTTCGACTCGGGGTGAGCGAGTCGGAGCCGTTGCTTGGCAATAGCAGCGCTTAGCCTTAGTCCCAGTTCGGATGCGGTCGAACTACTGGTCGTGATGGTAAAAAACGCGGCCTCGTAGTTTGACCGGGGCCGAACTTTACGTGGCCCGACTCTTAATTCGAGTTGGGAGAACTTACTTGAATGGCGAGGGTGCCTATCCTGCGCTTCGATTTGTTGGAGGTCGGGCTATGCTTTCACAGATGAAGGCGTTTGGCCTGAGTCTCGGTTCAACTGTGGTTGAACTTGCTAAAGTTGAGTACGAAGGCGTCCATCCTTGTAGTTCGAGCGAGGTCGAGCTCGTTAGATTTAATGGCGAAGGCACATAGCCTGAGTCTTGGTTCGACTGTGGTTGGACTTATTGGCGAAGGCACGTAGCCGGAGTCCCAGTTCGACTGTTGTTGGACTTTGTTAAATTTGGTGGCGAAGGCACATAGCTTGAGTCCCGGTTCAACCGTAGTTGAACTTTTTGGTGAAGGCGCATAGCCTATCTTGGTTCAACCATAGTTGAACTGTTTGGTGAAGGCGCATAGCCTGAGTCCCGGTTCAACCGTAGTTGAACTTTTTGGCGAAGGCGCATAGCCTGAGTCTCGGTTCAACCGTAGTTGAACTTACTGGTGAAGGCGCATAGCCTGAATCTTGGTTCAACCGTAGTCGAACTTACTGGCGAAGGCGCATGGCCTGAATCCCAGTTCAACTGTTGTTGAACTTTGTCGATCTTGAGCCTATCTTGGTTCAACCGTGGTTGAACTTTTTTGTGAAGGCGCATAGCCTTGATTTAATGACGAAGGCGCTTAGCCTGAGTCTCGGTTCTACCATAGTTGAACTTACTGGTGAAGGCGCATAGCCTGAATCTTGGTTCAACTGTTGTTGAACTTTGTCGATCTTGATGGCGAAGGCTCATGGCCTGAGTCCCAGTGCTTAGCCTGAGTCTCGGTTCAACCGTAGTTGAACTTACTGGTGAAGGCGCATAGCCTGAATCTTGGTTCAACCGTAGTCGAACTTACTGGCGAAGGCGCATAGCCTTGATTTAATGACGAAGGCGCTTAGCCTGAGTCTCGGTTCAACCGTAGTTGAACTTACTGGTGAAGGCGCATAGCCTGAATCTTGGTTCAACCGTTGTTGAACTGTTTGGTGAAGGCGCATAGCTTGAGTCCCTTCAACCATAGTTGAACTTTTTGGCGAAGGCGCATAGCCTCTATCTTGGTTCAACCGTAGTTGAACTGTTTGGTGAAGGCGCATAGCCTGAGTCCCGGTTCAACCGTAGTTGAACTTTTTGGGGTGAAGGCACATAGCCTGAGTCCTGGTTCAACCGTAGTTGAACTTTTTGGTGAAGGCGCATAGCCTGAGTCCCGGTTCAACCATAGTTGAACTTTTTGGCGAAGGCGCATAGCCTGTCTTGGTTCAACCGTAGTTGAACTTTTTTGGTGAAGGCACGTAGCCTGAGTCCCGGTTCAACCGTAGTTGAACTTTTTGGCGAAGGCGCATAGCCTGTCTTGGTTCAACCGTAGTTGAACTTTTTTGGTGAAGGCGCGTAGCCTATCTTGGTTCAACCGTAGTTGAACTTTTTGGCGAAGGCGCATAGCCTGTCTTGGTTCAACCGTAGTTGAACTGTTTGGTGAAGGCGCATAGCCTGTCTTGGTTCAACCGTAGTTGAACTTTTTTGGTGAAGGCGCATAGCCTGAGTCCCGGTTCAACCGTAGTTGAACTTTTTGGCGAAGGCGCATAGCCTGAGTCCCGGTTCAACCGTAGTTGAACTTTTTGGCGAAGGCGCATAGCCTGTCTTGGTTCAACCGTAGTTGAACTTTTTGGTGAAGGCGCATAGCCTGAGTCCCGGTTCAACCGTAGTTGAACTTTTTGGCGAAGACGCATAGCCTGTCTTGGTTCAACCGTAGTTGAACTTTTTGGCGAAGGCGCATAGCCTGAGTCCCGGTTCAACCGTAGTTGAACTTTTTGGCGAAGACGCATAGCCTGTCTTGCATAGCCTGTCTTGGTTCAACCGTAGTTGAACTTTTTGGCGAAGGCGCATAGCCTGTCTTGGTTCAACCGTAGTTGAACTTTTTGGTGAAGGCGCATAGCCTGAGTCCCGGTTCAACCGTAGTTGAACTTTTTGGCGAAGGCGCATAGCCTGTCTTGGTTCAACCGTAGTTGAACTTTTTTGGTGAAGGCACGTAGCCTGAGTCCCGGTTCAACCGTAGTTGAACTTTTTGGCGAAGGCGCATAGCCTGTCTTGGTTCAACCGTAGTTGAACTTTTTTGGTGA